GAGAGAAGCTTTCTCTCTCTCTCTCTCTCTCTCTCTCTCTCTCTCTCCTTCCTGCTGTCAAGTCCCAAGTTCCTTCTACCACGACGCTGTGCCTCACATTGTGCCCAGAGCTATGGAGTTGGCTGATCATGGACTAAACCTCTGAAACCATGAGTCAAAATAAATACTTCTGTAAGTAGTTGTTGTTAGGTACTTTGGTTACAGTGACAAAAAAAAACACCTAACTAAAACAATATTATTTTTAATTGGCAAGTAATAATTGTATACTTTATGGAGTAAAATCTGTTTTAATGCATAATATGGAATGATTAAATCAACATGATTACAATCACATAATTAACAGTTAATTTAGCATATACTAGATACACACATGTATGTATATGTGTATATATATATATATATATATATATATATGCACACATAGATAGATATACTCAAATAAATATGCACTTTTAACACGCATTTGGGTTTCTACTATTGTAAATAATTAACAGAATTTTTGACAGTTACAAAATTTTGGTAATTCATGTGAACAAGTATGTGGACAAAACTTGTTTTCAATTTTATGTTTGACTCTTTTTTAGCAATTTAAATGTGGAATTTGGGGATTTTATGAAATCCAATAACATTTGCATTTAGACTAACAGATTGTGATCTTTGAAATTGTATCCAATCAAGGTGCTCTCCAGCTGATGATCTACATAGAGTTTAAATCTTTAAAACTCAATATTAATGGCATATCAGAATGGTTGTTTATAAGGTCTCAAAGTTAGTGTTATATAGAATATGATCATTTTAAAATGATCATATTTTGATCATGTATCAATTATTCTTTCCCAGGAAAGACTACACTGCAAAAGTCATTCTCTTTTTTTTTCCTAGACTAAGCTTTGTATACCTTATTTTGGGGAATGAATCAATTATTTTCTCTACTTTTGGATGAAACTCCTGGAGTTTCTCAGTATCTCTATCAACTCAGCTGGTAGCTACAGAGAGAAGACCCACCTGCATGGGGCCCTTCTGGAGGCTTCACCATCAGGGCTCAGATTCCAGGCACAGAATCACAGTGTGAAAGCTAAAGAGTTTGTAGGACTTACAGACTCCCTAAGGGGAGTGAATAGCACATATGGAGGCTCTACTTAGGTCAGAGAGCACAGCAGAGAGGAAGAGAGGAACTTCTGTGCCTACACACTTACTGGGATGAGCTTGTGGTCCAGATAGGTTCCCCAGGGGAGCTTTGACTGGTGGTTTGAAGAAATCAGGCAGTAATTCCAGGAAGTCATGATGTGACTGAGAGGGCTCCTGGGCCATGTCTAACTTTTCCCTTGAAGGGAAGTAGCTGGAAAGTAGAAGGAAGCCTCCAGAGTTGTAATCTGAGGCCACCAGCAGGAGCCATGGGGTGCCTTATAGTACTGGGAACAGTTAGGGTGACCAAGCCCTGCTTCTTGTATGAAAGTTAAACTTATACTTAAAAGTGGATGTGGAAGCAACATAAAATGATATGCACTCACTACCTAGGAAAAATGTCCTCACAGAATCATTTGTAGGGTCTTAATATGTGATGACTTGTTTCACTGTAATGAAACTAAGCAAAGCAAATGCTTTTCATTCTCACAAAATCCTGTTGGTTGTATGACCTTATTATCCCCATTGTATAGATGAGAAAGCTGAGGCTGAGGCAGGCTGAGAGACATCACAAGATCCATCAACTGGGAAGTGCTCCCCACTCATACCCTGTGTGATCTGCTTCTGGTATCTGTGTTTGGTCCTTGCCAAGGTAATTATGATTGTGGGGAGAAGGGAGTTAACCAAAGTGATGA